GTGTAAGTTCCGAAGTCTCAGGAAAAGCGCAGTTGTCAGCACCGGACTACCCTGCCTAGTCCGCCCGGGGGCCAGTAGCCAGATCACCCCCGCGCACTTCTAGTATAGCGCTAATGGCCCACTTATTGTGTCACTATAGCGGGAATTCCTTTCTTACGACCACAGACCTGCCAATCTTAGAACCGTTCAGTCAACTTCAACATTCTCTTCTGTCTTTCAACTGATTCAGTGGTGGTACAATTATTCTGCAAAATAATTGCGTGGTTTTCTTTTTGTTAATAAATTGGCACACACGCGTGTGTGTCACTTTTGTCAAACTGAAAAGCGTGACAAGCTGTTGAATTCGATTGTTGATTGATAAAGGGAAAAGTGTCAAATTCCGGATTAGCGTCGCGCCTTATTTTTATTTCATTAAACTTAACAATGATTGCCACTGTCATTTTTAAAATAGTGATAAATTAGGCTTATATTTCAAAATGTGATTTGACACCTGTGGGATTTTTTTGTCAGGGTGACCTAATTATTAGGACGAGAGAATGAAACTGATGGAAAATAATTACAATATTTCTCACAGATTTCTTTCAGCGCATGCATGCAATCGAGAAAGATATATGCGCTAAATCAAAATGACCTAATGTTTTGGAATACAACAATTCGTACCATTTTGTATGAAATCATTGAAATTTAAGTCTTATTAATTTTTTTTGTCATTAGGCCTATACTGACCAGACGACAAGCCCAGAAATGATTAACATGCAATTTTTTTGTTCATGTCTACCCTACCTATACCGCACGTGAATGAAACGAAGAAAGCAAGAAAATCTAAAACTCCAACTCTAAAATCTAGGCGCTATTTGGGTCTACCTTGTCACAGAAAATAAAGCAAAGTTGTCGTTGTTTTCTCTAACAGATGTATCAATCCCTTAGCTTAAAAATAAATTTATTATTGTGATTTAATTTGTTTAATTGATTATTATGTATTTGTTTATGTTTTGACAAACAAAGCAAAAATGTGGTCCATTGATTACAGAGTTCGTACCTCGTATGAGGGCGCATGCGCAGTTGTGGGTGTGTCATTAATCACATCTTGACAAGTTGCATAGCCTAAATGTACCGTGTTACGGTTATCGCGTTCTGTATATGAGACTTAATTCGCAATAACGACGTGTGACCACCTGCCATTTGAAACCACTTTCTATTTTCAGGCTCCTGTTTTTAACAGGATTAATTTCCCCGCCAAGCAGTAACGTTGTCACCGGCGAATTCTTGGACAAACATCCAGCTACTATGGTAGCCCCGGTCCCCCTATCTACTGGTTTTGTTTGATCGACATAATCCGGAAGGTTTAGCCGGAGCGACCAGCCTTCCGAAATCACAGATAAAATATTTAGATAACCAAGGCTTAAAAGATGAAGATGGAGTCCAACAAGAAGTCTCGACTGAAAGTGAAGAGAGAGAAAAAATCATCTCCTTGTTTGCCAAGTCAGGGGCTCATTAAGTAACGGTGCGTCCCCCGCTCCCGGTGGCTGTATAAATTTGATCTAAAGCCCCAGCTAAGCTCCGATTTTCCCCACCCTGGCTCGGGGAAGTCTGACTGACAGGTCGGCGGTAGCCAGAGCAAATTTGTCCGGGTGGTGGCAGGGAGGAGGATGGGAGGGGGGGGGGACAAGACGGCAGCCGGCGCATAGGTGGCAATGGGAGGGGGAACAAACATCAAACATTCTCGGCCGTCCCCGCGTGCCATCAGCCTGTTCTTGTATCCCCGGTAAATGCCCGCTAAATCCTCCCACCCAAGAGTTTTAGCTCAACAACAACAAGCCACGGAGGCCTTGCCCCCGAGTTGCACAGATGCAGATCTCTCTCGGGTTGAATTTTTTAATAATTATGATTTGGGGCCTCTTACTCTCAATGTGCCTCTTCAAATTGCGCGTCTTCAGCTCTCCGGTCCTGTTTCTGATTATTTTTGTTTTTTCGGAGGCGCTGACTCTTTTTCTTTTCTTTTTCGTATTTCTACTCCCCTCTTTTGACTCTCCTCCATCTTTCTCCGGGAGCACTTCCGATCTGAAGTGGCCACCCGGTATAGCAGCGGGGGATATATAGCGAGTCAAGCCGGGGCATGGGCCATGAATATGCAGCCACCAACTCTCCCGGTGTTGCCGGCTAATGACGCGTAGCTCGCCGTGCAAACAAGAAATTCAAAAAGCAGAGAGACAAGCTCCAAGAAGCCGCTGAAAAAAGCAGCCATTTCGACGAGGGTCCGTGGAGGGGCTCTTGAGTAACTGATCCCGGTTCTCACCAGGGCCTGGATCGCGGCCGGGCCGGAAGTCTCAAGGAGGCAAAGTGACTTATACGCGAGTGGACCGGGCCCGCGAGAGCGACATGAAGGAGCGTAATGCGTTTTAAGCATGGAAAGTGAGACGCTGTGAGCTGCTTGTCCGCGCTCCTCATAGCGGGGCCGCGTACGCGCACTCTGAGCCAATAGGAAGCGACTTTTTTCCCCTCTCGTTGCATGCAAGCCCGCACGGTGTACCGGGCTATGTGCCCGGTAACGGTTCACTTACGCGGTCCGCAGAAAAAATAAATCGGGATATCGGTGCGGTGCAATGCCAAACACGTGAATCAGCGAGTGGGAAGGGTTTTTAATCAATGGGCATCAATCACGGTATTTTTTTCTCTCCCACTCTCTCCTCCTCTTGGCTTCCCCCCGTCCGAACCACTTCTCTTTCGGCCAACAATATGACGAAATTCGTCACCAAGTCAGGCAATATCCATGCCTCTTATTCCACGTATTTACGTGGAGTGTGTGTGACTGACATTTGATAATAAGGACCGACCGTTGACTGTTGCATGCAAGGCGCGGAAGCAGCGTGTTGATATTAAATTGTGTTCTAGCTCGCCACCGTTTAAAAAGAGATCTAGGTCAAAAGTTGCATTCTGTAAATAGAAATGAAAGTCAACAAAACAGAAGAAATGACTTATCTTAAGATGATTTAATTTCTTAAGATGACAGAAACCTGTCAATGGGCACGTGTATTATTGTGCTCACGTTCAATTAAATTCCTGAGTTCAGGTCTTGCACACAATTTGCGCGTTTTTACGCTGACCCCATTTTCTCTATGTGTGCACAGAATCGCTAAACTGGAACAAAAGTTCCTTCACAGAAATAAAGACCATTATTTTGCACTGTTAAACGTCCCTGGGGCAGATTTGAGCCAAAATATGGGTCAGATTGAACCTGATGTTTTTTTTTTCAGAGTCAAAATGACACTGCTCTGAACCATTTTCTGAGCAATTTTGACCCGGAAACATTTTTTTTATGCACAAATGTCAATTTGACAATGTGTCATAGTGACCCTTAAAATATTATGGGGAATCCGACCCAGGATTCTGGGTCAATTCTGACCAAGATTCCGGTCAGTCTGACCCAGATTCCAAGTCAATTCTGACCCAAATTCCGAGTCAAATCTGACCAAGGTTCCAGGTCAAATCTGACCCGGATTCCAAGTCAAATCTGTCCCGGATTCCGGGTCAAATCTGACCCAGATTCCAGGTCAAATCTGTCCCAGATTTCAGGTCAAATCTGACCCAGATTCGGGGTCAAATCTGACCTAGATTTCAGGTAAAATTTGACCTAGATTCCAGGTTAAATCCGACCCGGATTCCAGGTCAAATCTGTCCCGGATCCCAAGTCAAATATGTCCCGGATTCCGAGTCAAATCTGACCGAGATTCCAGGTCAAATCTGACCCAGACTCCAGGTCAAATCTAACCCGGATTCAAGGTCAAATCTGACCCGGATGCCGAGTAAAATCTGACCCGCAATCTAGGTCAAATCTGACCCAGACGTTTAAGAGTTAAGAATCCTTTAAAGTGATTGAAGCTTGCCAGTAAGCCTACATGTACTGCCTCTGTTTCAACAAGTCCGTATGGCTTTTCCTTTGAACGGGACTGCGGATCTGCACTGATCACTTTCTTTATATCAGTGTAAGTTTATTCATATTAAGTTGACAGTTCAGTTGGGCCAATGTTAGTGAACAAGGTGCTCCGTTGCCTTTGAGCGTGTCGCTTTAGTTGTTGCCCCGGCCGTCAGCTCGGCTCTTTTCCCAGGCGAACAGCTCCCAGCAATATTTCTCCGTCACGCATTATTCGCAAAAGCTTTGCTCCAAAAACGAAGTAATCCATCTGGGGTTGTGTATTTGCGGCGACCCGAAACGCGTTTAAGCGGCCCCCGGAGGTCTGCGTTGCCACGGCGCAGCGCCACCAACGTCACGGGGGAATATTTTGCGCGCCAAGTGCTCGCATTGACCTATTTTTGAAAGCTCAGAAGATATTTTCTCGACGTGAAGATGTTTTTCTCTTCGGAGTAGTCAAACCTCGGAGGGCATTTACAGTCGAAAGCATTCTGATCAGACTGAATTATTTTAACGGTATCGAAAATGTCAAGAGGTTACATTTTCCTCCTGGTCTTCTGGTACACTCCTTAGCGTAAAGTCGTTGCTCGTTTTACACAAATAAATGGAGCGAGCAAAAAAAAAAAAATTAAAAAAAAAAATGCGAACATCGATGTGTTTTGCTGCAGGCCTTCTCATAGATAATACAAGAAAACTAAGGCTACGTCCAAATCAGCTAACTAGGACTAGGTCGAGGTCTGCGCCCATTAAAAATACGCGGGGACGCGCTGACAATGGACGTAGCCGAAGCTCTGGAATGGGGCGACTTGGGAGAAGAGAGGGCGCTGTTTACACGCATGGTGCCGGCTGGTGTAAGGTTTCAGGGCAGTAAAATAGGCCCAAAATTGCGTACGCCGGCCAATGCAAATCACGCTTTGCATGCCCTCAAATCCTCTGCTATTAAAGCATTTCGTGGGCCATGAGCTTGAGGGTCTGTAAAAAAAAATAAGAAGGGTGCAAGCCGTGAACAGGATAACCTTGGTCAAGGCGTTCGTCGTTATTCGTCCGTGCATTATGAATCGCCCGAATTAGTGAAGTGTTGTTGTGATAACAATTTGACATTCTTGCTCACCGGAGTTTCTTTCTCTTCAAGTTTGAACATATTTCACGATGGTTCGTATGGGAGCAACTGCAACGCAGCGAAGTACATGATGGCTGCCTATGCGACCCCTTGGTATGCTGAACCTATGGTTATCTTGTAGCCAGAGCTACTTCCGAGCTTTCGTTGGGTAAGAACGTAGCGCACGCTAGATACTAGACCTGGACATTCCTGGATTCTCAAATGTCTAAAGCCGCGTCAGAATGACTTGGCTAAGGCTGGGAATAACACACGGATCTACGGGAGGTGGCTGCAGCCGCTTTCATAATTATGCGCATGTGTAATTTCCAGGCGTATCCAGTTAAATCGAACATGGCCTATCAGTGGCAATGGGAGACTTTTGAGACGTTGGTGGCGGCAAACACACCTGTCCTTTAAATAAAAGCGCGCATGCTCAATATGATGCAACTACATTGGAAAAAGGACCATTGTGTTTGCTGCCACCAATGTCTCAAAGGTCTCCATTAATTTTATGCATTGACTTTGAGCAATCAGTCTTCGTTCAAGACCTACCGTTTATGATTTGTTCGTCTTACGCTCGCCGGCCCCTAGCAATGCTGCCAACAGAGGGCGCAATCACCACGATCCCACTCGCTTAGTACTTCACGGGTCGAATTGGTATTATTTTTTTATTAAAATAAAAAAGCCTTTAGCCCAGAGTCCTTGAAATAAAATTGTGAGTTTTAATATTTCATGGCTGTTACGTGCAAAATAGCTACAAGTTGTACATAAACAAAAACAGTTATGACAAAAACAATTCTGGCAATAATGTTTAAATTTAAGAGCTGACAATATTATTAAGATAAGTTGCATTACATGGTTATAATTTTGGTTATATTTGAAATATATTTCGAACATTATCACACGGTTTAATTTCGAATTTACTTCACAGGAGCAGGAGATGCTACGACGACAATTAGATATGACGCTACGTATGACGTCAGCGTTGCAATTAATGACTCCAATGAAGACGGAAAAGGAATTGATAACAACGGATTATCTCTTAAAAAGCAACTTTTAGGTCACTGCTCTCTATATATAAACTATTTATTTACCCTTTGTGCGTATACTGGGCAATAGCTGTTGATTTGTACAATAAACTTCTTGTTGGGTTTGATTTTGACATTTGGTGGAGGAAATAAAAGATGCTAAGTAGCAAAAATTCATTGAATGTGTCTTGCTGTGTAGATTTTTTTAATGGTGATGGTGGTGGTTTGGGGGAGAGTTCACACCCCAATTTCTTTCTTTTTTTTGTCTGCAAAATCATTGTACTGTCCGTAGAATCGTGTGTATATCGAAATGCCGCAGATCTGGGGCCAATTTCATGCAGTTGCTAAGCTCAAAATTTGCTTAGCACAAAAAGTCTGGCGTAGTAAAAGCAGGTTACCAGCCAAAACTCCATGTGATTTTCATGCTAAGCAATCAACAGCCGAATGCCAATCACAAGCAAAGTTGCAATATACATCACATGGGCATTTGGTTGGTAATCCTGTTTTTTCCAATGCAGACTTTGCATGCTAAGCAAATTTCTCTGCTTAGCAGCTCCATGGAATTGGCCCCTGGTACGGTATGCCGCAACGAATGGCGCCCCGAATGCCACACTGACCGTGTTCCAACCGCGCGCGTCATACGCTCATGCACGCACATGGTGTCCTGACCAATCCAATCCATGATTAATGTCCGATGTGCCGCACATCGGACGTTAATCATGGATTGGATTGGTCAGGACACCATGGGGCGGGGCTTAATGGATCAGTCCACTATTGTCACACAGTTCTTGCTTTACGGCTGCCCATTTGGTGCAATAGTGGTCGACGATGCTGCATCACGCATGTAGTAGCTGTAGGTAATATTGATGGGATTACTGTCCTTTGTCCAGTACACCTTCCAGAGACAGAAAGATAAAAACAAGAAAACAAGTTAAGTGTGAAACAAGCAATTAATGAAAATTAACGTATAGATTCACATACAATACATGACTTGCCATTAACTCTGAACCTGTCATGAAACCTTTCCTCAAACTTTCAATATTTTCCCGGTGAATAAAACCAATTCCCCACATTATGGCCTCCAAGACCTCGTGACCGTGACCGATCCACTACGCCCCGTCCCATGATGTTTTGACCAATCACAGCCTTTATTAATATCCGTCCACGTGCGCAGTGGGCGGAGCTAAATAGATCAGCCCCAAGTTTTGTTTATGGGGATCTCGGGACATTAGCGTTTATACCGTTAGTATTGAATGCTCATGTATGACTATTCTAATTTCATTTTACCAGGACATCCAGATCCTGGTGGAGTGGGCCTTTGGAAGTCAGCTGGTCATTTTTCTTGGTGTAGTCGAACCGTGCACCGGCGGCTATGAACTCGGGCCAACCCCGTCGCCTTCGACCACCATTCAAGATGTACGTCTTGTCCGAGCTACGCCGAAGGGCTGTCAGAGTTTCAAGAAAAAAAAACAATATAAAAGACAAGGCAAGCCAATTAACGTCGGCACCAGAGCGCACGGTTTTTATTGGTATTACTAGCGGGATGCCGCGCTCGCGTGGGTCGTAAAGCCTCGAGAAGAGGTTTCGAAATGCATATTCATTTCGTACGAATTCGTACGATCGACAGTGAGAGGTAGAGTTCTTTAACCTCAATTTGCATGCTGACCCCAAGTGGGCGTGGTAAACCTTGGTGAAGCAATTCACCACATTTTTCATCATCAACGTTATGTTTTGTGTAATAGCGATACGTTTTGGAGTGTTTTCATAGAGATAACGTTGTAAAATTTCACTATTCAAAGTGTCAAAGAAACAAATTTACCAAAAAATGAAAACAAAACGAAAGTTGGACTTTGCGCTTCCGCACTCTCCTTAGGCCTTTTACAACAACAATGAAACACAGGCGTAAAGCGTGGGATCTTAAATATAGTATTGTACTGTATCAATGTAAGCTTACCCAAAAAATGGTTAGTGGTGGATTGCTCTTTCACTTCGATGTTGTAAGCACCGGCTGGAAGGACGTCTACGCGCTGGTACTCTGTAATGACAATTGGAACAGTTTTAAAAGAAGAGAGATACAGATATTTAGATTGCTTTTTTAGTTGTGCCAGCTTACCCAGTTCAAAGTCATTGAACTTTTTAAAGCTGTATGTAACTGTCCGGGCATTTGAGTTATACTGTGCATTAGTAGAGACAAGTTTTGTGTTTTGTGCTGATAATACTTTTTTTTGTTTATCAGTTAATAAACAAAGTGAACTATTACTTTTCGTCGGTGTGGCGGTGAAGACCTTGCTGATGAGAGTACAATAACTGCCGTCACCGCCGCATATCCCGCACACATCGTCTTCAGCGGATGACCCAACACGCTTGTTGCACCCAAGTTTCTGTGAAAGATTTCCAAATCAATTAAAAAGAATAAAAAAAATTATTTGAAAAAAAAGAGCTTTCAGGGATTAACAAAAGTACCATCCTACTATATTTGACTTAGATTCCGGGTCATTTAAAATAATTTCACTTGAGTGAGATGAAAAACTGTATACGTAAAGGTCTCGTCGGACTTCCTGACTGTTGGGAGTATTTTGATGATCTCGTGTTTAGCGCAAGGATGTAACATTTTGATGGTAGGAGTAAAACGGGGAATTACGATTGTGAATAAAATGAGCAAACGGAAACGCCTACTTTGCACTCGCCCCCGACACAGATGCTATGGTGGTCCTCGTAGGTACATGGACTGCCGTCGGTTACCATGTACGGGGTTGCAAGGATATCCAACGTCTTCGCTGACATACAGACTAGTCTGCACAGGGACGTTTCTGAAAGTAAAAAAAAAAAAACAATGGGGGTAAATGTATGGAATCTTGACAACGAAAAGTAACTTGCATCTTGCAGAGAGAACAATTTTGATTATAAGCCCTTGACCTATCGCCGTTTGCGAGTTAGCCACGCCCCTTGGACAACCCTATAGAATATTGTTCGTTAAGTTTTGTTTGTTCAAGAACGTGCGCGTTACGCGTCCATTTGTATATTATGTGATTGGACAATATTTTACAAGCTGCGTTGGCGCGATCCTGCACATTGATTGGTTAATTCATATTAGGCTTTCATTCGCTAGCTGAGACAATTTTAAGTGGTGCAAAAGTACAATTTCTAATTTGCGCACGTTCTGACGTAGTTGGACCTACGCAACTTTTATTTTAGGCAATAACAAGGACAGTTTTATCTTCTGCAGGCCAAAACTACGTATATTTTCTCAACCTGCCAGTTAAATGATGAAGATGATAAATAATAACCTAGCCCAGCCAACCGTGAATAAATTATGCAAATGAAGAACCTATTGACGTACCGTTATGGTCCTCAAAGGGCACCCATTCATAGTGCTTGCCATTCACCAGCACCGTCGATAAGCGGTCCTTACACTGCTCAGCTCGTCTGTCCACCCAGACCGCGCATGGCTAATTTGAATAATGCAAAACATAAATATGAATATTCATAGTACGTTGCCAATGACGACAAGCTTGATTGACGGAGCGATGTAGCCGCTTTCTTGGTGCATGTTATACGGTGAAAATGTTAAAACTAAAACTAAATATACCAAAAATGTTTACCTTTTAAAATGAAATTACGATTGGCCTTTTTTTTTGGGGGGGGGGGAGGGACCGGTTAGTATTTGATTATTAACGGTGAAATTATTTTTACCTGAGTGTTGCAAACTTTAAACTGGACTGACTTCCCCTTGCAATCCTTGCCTCCATGGGCGGGTCTGGAAGGAGGAAAAGTATTTAGGCCCAGGCCGAAGAGAAACATATACACTGTAAACACGTTGGGCAAAATGGGTTGATATGTAGACCAATGTTGGTCAACATATCAACAGGTTAAATAAACTCTTTGGCAAATTGTTCCTTAAACTGTTGGAACTTTTTTACCCAAATTGGGTAATTACAAACCAATGTTTGCATTCGAGGAAGTAAGAAAATGTTAACAGTTTTGAAAGTTTTTAATTACTTCCAAGGACTTAAAGCCGTTTAGGGCCGAATTAAATGAGGGATAAACAAACCTATGGAGCAAGGGTGTTAATGTGCGCACCTCTTGGATTTTCTGGTAGAGGTGCATGATGTAAAAGCTCCGTTACAATGTAGTGTTTGCATCATTAGCATTCGCAAATGGCACACTTGTTTGTAACAGTCAATGGGTCACTTTCAGTATTTCATTCTGTGCAGTCCTTAAGATGAGTTCAATTGATCGGTAGAACAAAAATACTACCTTGGGTTGTCGCAGTGCCGATACCTGGTGCGTGCACCGACATCGCAGTCCTGGGAACATTCGCTCCAGTCGGACCATTTGCTCCATTTGCCGTTTCGCGCTGGGGGTTTGTTCACACAAACGCCGTCCATACACCACTGCGAAAGAAATCACATTGAAAGACACGAACACATTTTATAGAGCTATATTTTCGAAAAGAGCGGGCCGCGCCATGTTGAAATTGTACGAATAAAGTGTTACTCTCGAATCTGAATTGCTCTCTCTCTCTCTCTCTCCGAGTACTGGATTCGTAACCCATTTATACACCTTGGACAAAACAAGCTACAGTATAATTTCATAGAAATCTGTAAAGATGCTTGATACTTATGATTTTTTTTTTGGTGTTGAGAACAGAATGGACATCAATCGTCTTTGCAATCAACCATACCTGGTTGACGGCGCCGCAGCCAGTTCCATCTAAGGCGGGGAGATAGTACTCATGGCAGGTGTCTCGTTCCGTTCCTTCAGTGCATCTGATGTCACAGGTGTAATAGTCGTCCGGCTTCAAAGCAGAAAAATAAGAGACCAAAAAGTAAACGACAGAGACCAAGTTCATGTTATTGTGTAACACTGTGTCTATAAATGCACATGATTAACCCTAAAGGGGCCGGGGGGGCGGAATCCCCCCCCCCTCAACATTTTCCGCGATAGCCTCTAAAAAAAAATTTTTCGCGACCCGAGCTGTTATGACTTTTTAGCCTCGAGCTTTGCGCATCTTTTGATACCAAAAACATAAAAATCGGACCACGGGTTGCCACGTAGCAAAAAAATTTCCGGCGCTACGCGCCGTAAAAACTGAATTTTCGCATATACGTCGTGTACACCGAACAAAATTGCCATTCATACATATGAATAATTAATTAGCCATAATTCCAAAACCCTTTGACCTATAGTCATGAAATTTCTTGGGCATGTTTAGGAAGAGTTGTTCTATGCATGTGCTGAGTTTCAAAATTTTTCGTCACTCGATGGTCGAGATCTTAGGGGGGGGGGGGGCGGAAGAGATGGTCAAAATAACCCGGCCCCTTTAGGGTTAAACGAGGTTCATGTATCGCAATGTGTTTTTCCTGTGCACAATATGTCTTGATAGGCCAATTCGTTCGAATAGTAAATTGTACATAGGTTCAAAAGCATAATCTGGAGAAATAAGCATATTTTCCCAGGCTAAACCAAATAACATACTCCAGACGTTAACGTGCTTACTGTTTGACATTAAAAAACTAACAATTTAACTGAACTCTATGTTGCATGTGCTTCATGAAAGGCATTATTTATGTGGCATGAATATGTCTCTTTAGCATAAATCATTTTCCAGTGGATATTTCTAAATAGCTTACGCTTCCGCACTGGTGCGAACTCCCGCCAAAAGTGTACCGGCACTGCTGGTCCGTGGAGTACCGCTCCCCAGGAAAGCCATCGATCTCCATCAAACCGCTAGTGTCGACTGCCACGTTCTTCAAGCAGTGGTAATGTCTGCACACACAAAAGGAATGAAAATTTAAATATGAGGATGCTACTAGGTGACGGCTGATATATCTCCATAAACGTTTGGTGTGGAAGAGATGAACATTTAGGGTCTTGCCCTTGTATATGAATGAATATACTTGAGATGTCTGTATTTTTAACCACAATGACCTGTGATATAGGCCTAAAGGTATAGAAAGGTACTATGTTGAAGAGATCAAGAACATAACTCACCAATTTCAAATAAGTATCCATAAATTTGTTTAAAAGTTTTAAGTAGGCTTATTACATTTCTACCATCTAACAACCGATGTTGCTGTTACATTAATTGTTGTGTAAGTGTATGAACCATAGAGATTGTGCATTAAACCAAACTTAAAGGACCATCTTAGACGCTTACTGGATTTTAGTTTGGAGTACTTCTGCACTGCAGTTGGACCAGTAGTAGTCACCGTACATTGCCATGACCAGCGAGTTCATGATGGAGCGTGCATAGGTATCCACTACGCACGAGTTACCATAGCCGTCATGCTCCAACCCCAAGCTGAAAGGTCAAAACAAAAGTTGAGATAATAAACACTGGAGGGCGCTCTACCCCTGTAACTGTCAGTCGATAGCACGTGTTAATTAGGAAAATATGAATACCAGTGGTTCATATTGACTTAGGGTGTGATAGACTGGATACCAGTGGTATATATCGACGGTAGGGTGCACTGATATGTCATCAGATATAAACGTCCAGAACCTGGTTCCCTGTTCCACGTGGCTATTGTAACACTCCGGCTTTGGTAAGCAGCGATGACGCCAATCTCGTTAGCCTGGTCCTGAATGGTCGAACTACAATTTGGATAGCGTGGGTTCGAGCAAGTAAAGTCTAACCACTATACTCTCGCTCAAACGTGCTCCAATGTACGTATTCAGGGCAATGCGCTCGATGAAATTCAAGTCATTGCTCGCTTTGCCGTTAAACACGTAGAGCGTATGCTTAGTACAGCTTCGTTAAACTAATGTTACAAAATGAAAGATAGACTTACACATGGCCAGCCTCGTGTGCCATAACGAAACCAGATAGCAATCCTTGATCCCGAGTCAGGGAACTACTCCAGTAACTGTCACACATCGTTGACAGGGGTGCAAAACCTTGAACACGAACAAAATTATTAAAAGCACGGCGGTCTTTAACATGTGTTTTTTTAATCACTTTTTTCCCTGCGTAGCGCGCAATGTCACATTTCACATGAACTTTCTGTGGGGCTCTTGTTTTGTGAAAGAATAAGTCGTGATGCTTTTTAAAAAAAAAATGGTGATTGCAAAAATTAAGTATTTCATATTCTATACATGTATTTATATAACGAAGCGAAATTGAAATCAGTGAATTTGATTTAGGCAATTACCAGCTGGGCCGAAATCCAGTTGTGTCAGAAAGGAGACATAGTCTGCCACGCCGTACAACTGGCCATCCGGCGTAAGGGAAGAGGCCCAGGCCCATACGTTGGTCAGACTTCGTTTGTAACGGTTCTCCACGATCAAAGTTTTGGACTGATGGAAATTTAGAAAAAAAAGTGCATATTTTTATCGTAATTACAGTGTCCTGTTTATGTGAATTTCCAGTGCCGACTGCGTCGTATTCCCACTATCAAAGGACCATTTTTTCCCATTACAATTGCAAACTGGAAATAACCTGCCTTCCCTGAATGTTCAATGCTCTGAAGAGGGCTGTGACTTCAATTTTGTAAAACATCTGAACTTAATCTTTCTTCCCGTTTACGTAGGCTTACTCCATATCTAAGGAATGGAAAATTGTGATTATTTCCCCCCACAATTATTTGAACACATACCAGGCAGTCCAGGTATCACTCTTGTCCAATGCCAATAATTAGACCTCATGAAAAATATCTGTACCTCTTGATCTGGTATTGTTAATTACAGAAGTCTATTTATAAATTTCAACTCACTGTTTTTGCATTGATGAGTACGATCTTTTTGGCGATGAATTGGATATCAACTGTCATGGTGTGGTGTCTGTAGACTTTATTCACCTGCAAAAGAAAAAAAGGTCAACAACATGAGGTCATGTCCTACAATATCTCAGCTCTCACAATCACTCTAATTAATCAATTACGGGGCAGAAGTTTGAAGATACCCTTGTGAAATAATGTAACGTCTTAAGTGCCCCCAGTTTGTTTTGCTTCGACAGCAGTATCATTCGGCAACTTTTATGTGATTGTTTTCATCGAACATCATTTAGAATAATGACCTGCTATTCTTGTGTTTTATCTGTTACAGCTTGACATACATTGTCTCCATGTGAGTGGCGCAGTTGAGGGGGGGGGGGGCACGCCCACCTGGCTAGGGGCTTGTTACCCCTTAATGACAGATATGAGACAGTCCTTTTCAATAATTTGTTTGCGTCATATTCAAACTTATGTGCGCATGTTCACAAGCTGTCAAAGGTATCTCATTCATCTCCATATTTAAACGTTTAACGAGTGTTATATTGTTTGACTATGACAAAACCATTTTTCTGTTGTCCCAAGACAATGAGGACTGAAGTCTCCCCCCCCCTCCTGTGCTATGAACGGGTCATAAGCTCCGCCCATCTTTGGTTTATGTATACTCCGAGCAATGCTTGTGACTGTCTTTCTACCGAGCTATATCGTGGTCGCTTGACCAAACGTTGGGAACCATGGTCAATCCGCACTGTTAGATTGGCAGAAAGAAGAGTCCGTTTTACACTTTAAGTGAAATTCGTCCTAAAGTGTTTTTTTTTTTCAAATCAACTCACAATGTTCAGCATATTCAACAGATACCTCGGCAGCTCGTCCGCGCCGTGGAAAGTAACCATGGAGTGATCGGCGGCCAGGATGGTCTCCACGATGTACTGCCGACCGTCGCTGTCTGCGGACCGTCGACTACGGGGTGAGTCCCGGTCATCAACATCATCGTCTGGCAGTGGGCCTGAGGTCTCTGCCTGAACTCTGCGTTCTAGCTTGATTTTAACTGCGATCAAGGGGGAGACGTTGAAGGTTTATACGAGGAACTGTGTTTTGAATTCCGCAATTAGCTCAACAGTGTCGTGTCACGGGGAGAGGGCAGGGGAAGAAGACACTAAGTCAAAAGACAGTGGGAAGTTTTCTTGACGTACATCGTATAAGATTCATTCTAAGCGATCCAATAATGATTGATGGTTTGAGGGAATAATGACACCTTAAAATGTTCAAATCTATTGTTTTAATTAGCCTTTATTATATGGCGGACACAATAGGGTGCTAATTGGTTCAATAACACAGATTATACCCTATATAGTTACCTACCTCTGATACTGTATTTTCATTGGCCTAGAACGATCCCGTGTTCAGTTTATAAAAAGTCATGGCACACTATATCACGTACGTGATATCCCACAGGGAGTGTGCGATGACTTTGTATGTACGGTGCGAAACGCTTATATCGTTGGTACCCATGCTATTTTCACCATGTTTTCACACATGAGTGGGAGCAGCGAACTAGCAGACGATCAGCTGTTTCGAGCACGCGACATGCATGTGACGTTCAATTGTCGTGTTTACTGCTGTTTGTTTTGATTTTTACATCACAATGCAACGAATCCAAGACATGGGTATAACAAAACAATTGTTGACTGCTGTGATGTGGGATATTACGCTTCGCCTTGGGTGCTAAGCGTCCCTCGGGTGTTCAAAACGTCATATCCCACATCAAAGCAGTCAATAAGTGTTAAATAGCACACTCTTTTCATGTCCACCATACATCCAAAAGGTCAATGGATGCCTTACAATCTGTTTCGAGTTCCGTAGACTCCATCTTCAAGTCTCTTGTCCGGTACATGATGTGAAGATGTCCGAGGGACGCGTTAATCCTGGGTCTGCCTGCCGAAGGCTCCAAGGGTTCGATAAAATATTCTTCACTGCCGGCTTGAATGAACCCACTCTGAATGATGGGAAAGACATATAATCTACACTCAGTCAGAAAAAAATCTAGGAAATATACCAGCGAATCGTTCCGCTTGTTTACTATTGACAAGTTCTTCATTAATATCACAGCTTCACAAAACAACAGGCATTCGAAATGTATTTTACGACTAAAATACGTAATTCAAGAAACGGTGTAGTTTGATGCACACAATGTGGATATACAAAAAAAAAACTGGCGGAAATGAAATATAGAGGAAACCAATAAAGAATTGACCGTGAACAAAATAAACAAATGAAAGCTAAAAGCTATTATGAATTGCAATCCCCTTAATTGAAATCTACCTGAAAGAATTCGTCCCACAAAGATTAACAAAATGTTATCTTACGAAAAAATCGAAATCTTAAAACAAATCCTCACCAGTCCGTTACAGTTGCTAATGGCAACTGAGGAGTTTGGTTGCCCAGCAACACTGCCTGAGTAGAAACAAAGGGTGTCGGGTCTAAACCTGTCGATTGTTCCATCCTCGTTGTGCCGTTCGACTCTCAGTTCGGGCGAGACCAGGTATCGATTCCTGGTGACGTTCAGCACGAGACTGACACCGAAAGCGTCGACTCTGAAATGGAAGTTTTGCGTCGGTTGTCGTTGTTGTATATCATCCGAAGACCTGGAGAACCGAGGTCGATTGGAGTCGACTCTGGTTCTGTGAGCGCTCCTGAAAATGTCTTCATTTTCTTCGTGCGTTGTCGACAAGTCGTTAGTCACGAAGTCGCCGTTGTCGGTCGAACGGTGGGGTCTGACCACTTCGTAGTACGACAGTTTCGACAAAAGATGATCTGCAGATAATGAAGAGAAATAGGCTATATCAGATAAGTGAGGAAAGACAGAAACACAAACAGAGGGATACAGATGGACAGACGGATTGACAGCCTCGAAATTGCGTATCCGTCGATGCCTCCTAATTTGAGTGGATTGTGCAGAAAATAATGAGACTGTGAAACTAATTCAGTTGACAGTTTAAATCGTCAAATCTGGTAACTCAAAAGACGCTCGGACAAATTTTAAAACAAATGGAAGAGTGGCCATATCACATACTTACGATGCTTCTCTCTCAGAGGTAAATAGGAAGTTCCGTCAGTTCCATGAACCTGCAAAAAGTACAGAACCAAAAACACGGTGAGCTAAAACAAATGGGGATACATGCAAAAATGTACAAGTAGGACGATCATTCCAAAAGCACAATGCAATTACGGTTCACCCACCAGCATCATGCAGAACGGAACCGTTAAAATAATAGACGCTAGAAGTCCCTCAACTGTGGTACACATCCAGCAACTTCCACTCCGTGTCCTCATTTTGATATTCACCCTCGAAAACTACAGACGGCTAGCAGTGACGATTGAAGAGAACAACACAAGGAATGAAGTTTGTTCCTTTAGACGCTCTTCTTTAAACGATTGTAAAATTGACGTGTTCGCACTAACGTAAACAATTTCTTGGTAAAAGTCCAGAGATTTTGAAGTGTTCCCTTGGTTACTTTTCGCGTGTTTTCATGTCCACAAATTCACACGCACGTCACCGGAAAGTAGTAACATGGTGCTGTGATTCATCGTTTAGTACTTGTCAACCGGTGTGGGAAAGTGGCCTGTGCTTCTGTAGCAGGAAACGCCAGCTGTTCTTGAAGTTCAAAACTGATGCTTACCGGACACTGAGGAAGGAAGTTCACCTCCGTATTGGCGTACAGATCAATGTCCGGATGATGGCTGCCAAGTACCACAGCATACATTGAGACACTCTCAGGAGTCTAAACTTAGGTAAACAAAACAAATGTTACTAACATTTTACTAAAATTTTATTCTCAAGCGGGCGATTGAGTAGGTCCGAAATTGGCCAAAATTGAAAAAAATTGCAAGGGGTTAGCCTTACATTATTGATCAAATTTGGCCAAAAATTGACTTTTCTCCAAACAACTCAGAAATGTCTTTGAATGCAAGAAGAACATCAATCGACCTTCAAACACTAATCATATTGAAGACTTGGGCAAAAATCACCGACTTATTGAGACACAAATAAATAATGTTCACTAATTTTGACCCAAATTATCGAAGCAATCTTTCTTTAAATGCCCAATCTGTCTAAAATTCCAGTTGGAATGTGTTCTAGGGACTCTCAGGCATCTACCCTGCAAGTTTCAAGCAATTTCATTTTTCGGCCAAAATTGAAAAAATTGCAAGGGGTTAGCCTTACACTTTTGATCAAATTTGGCCAAAAATTGACTTTTCTCCAAACAACTCAGAAATGTCTTGGGATGCAAGAGGAACATCAATCGACCTTCAAACATTAATCATATTGAAGATTTGGGCAAAAATCAACTGACTTATTGAAACAAAAATTAATAATTTTCACTAATTTTGACCCAAATTATCGGAGCAATCTTTCTTTTAATTGCCCAATCTGTCTAATATTCCAGTTGGAATGTGCTCTAGGGGACCTCATGCATCTTCCCTGCAAGTTTCAAGCCATTTCATTTTTCGGCCAAAATTGAAAAAAATTGCAAGGGGTTAGCCTTACATTTTTGATGAAATTTGGCCAAAAATTGACTTTTCTCCAAACAACTCAGAAATGTCTTTGGATGCAAGAGGAACATCAATCGACCTTAAAACGTTAATCATATTTAAGATTTTGGCAACAATCACGAACTTATTGAGACAAAAATTAATAATTTTCCTTAATTTTGACCCAAAATATCGAAGCAATCTGTTTTTAAAATGCCCAACCCTTTCTAAAGTTGCAGTTGGAATGTGCTCTAGGGGCCCTCAGGCATCTTCCCTGCAAGTTTCAAGCAATTTCATTTTTTGGCCAAAATTGAAAAAATTGCAAGGGGTTAGCCTTACATTTTTGATGAAATTTGGCCAAAAATTGACTTTTCTCCAAACAACTCAGAAATGTCTTTGGATGCAAGAGGAACATCAATCGACCTTCAAACACTAATCATATTTAAGATTTTGACAAAAATCACGAACTTATTCAGACAAAAATTAATAATTTTCACTAATTTTGACCCAAATTATCGAAGCAATCTTTCTTTTAAATACCAATCTGTCTCAAATTCCAGTTGGAATGTGCTCTAGGGACCCTTAGGCGTCTTCCCTGCAAGTTTCAAGCAATTTCATTTTTTGGCCGCAATTGAAAAAAATTGCAAGGGGTTAGCCTTACACTTTTTATGAAATTTGGACAAAAATTGACTTTTCTCCAAACAACTCAGAAAGGTCTGTCGATGCAAGAGGATCATCAATAGACTTTCAAACATTAATCATATTGAAGATTTGGGCAAAAATCAACCGACTTATGGAAACAAAAATTAATTATTTTCACTAATTTTGACCCAAATTATCGAAGCAATCTTTCTTTTAAAATACCAATCTGTCTCAAATTCCAGTTGGAATGTGCTCTAGGGACCCTCAGGCGTCTTCCCTGCAAGTTTCAAGCAATTTCATTTTTTGGCCGAAATTGAAAAAAATTGCAAGGGGTTAGCCTTACACTTTTTATGAAATTTGGCCAAAAATTGACTTTTCTCCAAACAACTCAGAAAGGTCTGTCGATGCAAAAGGATCATCAATAGACTTTCAAACATTAATCATATTGAAGATTTGGGCAAAAATCAACCGACTTATGGAAACAAAAATTAATTATTTTCACTAAATTTGACCCAAATTATCGAAGCAATTTTTCTTTTAATTGCCAAATCTGTCTCAAATTCCAGTTGGAATGTGCTCTAGGGACCCTCAGGCATCTTCCCAGCAAGTTTCATGCAATTTCATTTTTCGGCCAAAATTGAAAAAATTGCAAGGCGTAAGCCTTACATTTTTCATGAAATTTGGCCAAAAATTGACTTTTCTCCAAACAACTCAGAAATGTCTTTGAATGCAAGAAGAACATCAATCGACCTTCAAACACTAATCATATTGAAGACTTGGGCAAAAATCACCGACTTATTGAGACACAAATAAATAATGTTCACTAATTTTGACCCAAATTATCGAAGCAATCTTTCTTTAAATGCCCAATCTGTCTAAAATTCCAGTTGGAATGTGTTCTAGGGACTCTCAGGCATCTTCCCTGCAAGTTTCAAGCAATTTCATTTTTCGGCCAAAATTGAAAAAATTGCAAGGGGTTAGCCTTACACTTTTGATCAAATTTGGCCAAAAATTGACTTTTCTCCAAACAACTCAGAAATGTCTTGGGATGCAAGAGGAACATCAATCGACCTTCAAACATTAATCATATTGAAGATTTGGGCAAAAATCAACTGACTTATTGAAACAAAAATTAATAATTTTCACTAATTTTGACCCAAATTATCGGAGCAATCTTTCTTTTAATTGCCCAATCTGTCTAAAATTCCAGTTGGAATGTGCTCTAGGGGCCCTCATGCATCTTCCCTGCAAGTTTCAAGCCATTTCATTTTTCGGCCAAAATTGAAAAAAATTGCAAGGGGTTAGCCTTACATTTTTGATGAAATTTGGCCAAAAATTGACTTTTCTCCAAACAACTCAGAAATGTCTTTGGATGCAAGAGGAACATCAATCGACCTTCAAACGTTAATCATATTTAAGATTTTGGCAAAAATCACGAACTTATTGAGACAAAAATTAATAATTTTCCTTAATTTTGACCCAAAATATCGAAGCAATCTGTTTTTAAAATGCCCAACCCTTTCTAAAGTTGCAGTTGGAATGTGCTCTAGGGGCCCTCAGGCATCTTCCCTGCAAGTTTCAAGCAATTTCATTTTTTGGCCAAAATTGAAAAAATTGCAAGGGGTTAGCCTTACATTTTTAATGAAATTTGGCCAAAAATTGACTTTTCTCCAAACAACTCAGAAATGTCTTTGGATGCAAGAGGAACATCAATCGACCTTCAAACACTAATCATATTTAAGATTTTGACAAAAATCACGAACTTATTGAGACAAAAATTAATAATTTTTATTAATTTTGACCCAAAATATCGAAGCAATCTGTTTTTAAAATGCCCAACCCTTTCTAAAGTTGCAGTTGGAATGTGCTCTAGGGGCCCTCAGGCATCTTCCCTGCAAGTTTCAAGCAATTTCATTTTTCGGCCAAAATTGAAAAAATTGCAAGGGATTAGCCTTACATTTTTGATGAAATTTGGCCAAAAATTGACTTTTCTCCAAACAACTCAGAAATGTATTTGGATGCATGAGGAACATCAATCGACCTTCAAACACTAATCATATTTAAGATTTTGACAAAAATGACGAACTTATTGAGACAAAAATTAATAATTTTCACTAATTTTGACCCAAATTATCGAAGCACTCTTTTTCCTTTAAATACCAATCTGTCTCAAATTCCAGTTGGAATGTGCTCTAGGGACCCTCAGGCGTCTTCCCTGCAAGTTTCAAGCAATTTCATTTTTTGGCCGAAATTGAAAAAAATTGCAAGGGGTTAGCCTTACACTTTTTATGAAATTTGGCCAAAAATTGACTTTTCTCCAAACAACTCAGAAAGATCTGTCGATGCAAGAGGATCATCAATAGACTTTCAAACATTAATCATTTTGAAGCTTTGGGCAAAAATCAACCGACTTATGGAAACAAAAATTAATTATTTTCACTCATTTTGACCCAAATTATCGAAGCAATTTTTCTTTTAATTGCCAAATCTGTCTCAAATTCCAGTTGGAATGTGCTCTAGGGACGCACAGGCATCTTCCCTGCAAGTTTCAAGCAATATCATTTTTTGTCCAAAATTGAAAAAATTGCAAGGGGTTAGCCTTACATTTTTTATGAAATTTGGCCAAAAGATGACTTTTCTCCAAACAACTCAGAAAGGTCTTCCGATGCAAGAGGAACATCAATAGACTTTCAAACATTAATCATATCGAAGATTTGGGCAAAAATCAACTGACTTATTGAAACAAAAATTAATAATTTTCACTAATTTTGACCCAAATTATCGAAGCAATCTTTCTTTTAAATGCCCAATCTGTCTAAAATTCCAGTTGGAATGTGCTCTAGAGCCCATTAGGCATCTTCCCTGCAACTTTCAAGCCATTTCATTTTTTGTCCAAAATTGAAAAAATAGCAAGGGATTAGCCTCACATTTTTGATAAAATTCGGCCAAAAATTGACTTTTCTCCAAACAACTCAGAAATGTCTTTGGATGCAAGAGGAACATCAATCGACCTTCAAACACTAATCATATTTAAGATTTTGACAAAAATCACGAACTTATTCAGACAAAAATTAATAATTTTCACTAATTTTGACCCAAATTGTCGAAGCAATCTTTCTTTTAAATGCCCAATCTGTCTCAAATTCCAGTTGGAATGTGCTCTAGGGACCCTCAGGCATCTTCCCTGCAAGTTTCAGGCAATTTCATTTGTCGGCCAATATTGAAAAAATTGCAAGGGGTTAGCCTTACACTTTTGATAAAATTCGGCCAAAAAAATTGACTTTTCTCCAAACAACTCAGAAATGTCTTTGGATGCAAGAGGAACATCAAGCGACCTTCAAACTCTAATCATATTTAAGATTTTGACAAAAATCACGAACTTATTGAGACAAAAATTAATAATTTTCACTAATTTTGACCCAAATTATCGAAGCAATCTTTCTATTAAATGCCCAATCTGTCTCAAATTCCAGTTGGAATGTGCTCAAGGGACCCTCGGGCATCTTCCCTGCAAGTTTCGAGCAATATCATTTTTTGGCCAAAATTGAAAAAATTGCAAGGGGTTAGCCTTACATTTTTGATGAAATTTGGCCAAAAGATGACTTTTCTCCAAACAACTCAGAAAGGTCTTCCGATGCAAGAGGAACATCAATAGACTTTCATACATTAATTATATTGAAGATTTGGGCAAAAATCAACTGACTTATTGAAACAAAAATTAATAATTTTCACTAATTTTGACCCTAATTATCGAAGCAATCTTTCTTTTAAATGCCCAATCTGTCTAAAATAACAGTTGGAATGTGCTCTAGGGGCCCTCAGGCATCTTCCCTGCAACTTTCAAGCCATTTCATTTTTTGTCCAAAATTGAAAAAATAGCAAGGGGTTAGCCTTACATTTTTGATGAAATTTGGCCAAAAATTGACTTTTCTCCAAACAACTCAGAAATGTCTTTGGATGCAAGAGGAACATCAATCGACCTTCACACACTAATCATATTTAAGATTTTGACAGAAATCACGAACTTATTGAGACAAAAATTAATAATTTTCACTAATTTTGACCCAAATTATCGAAGCAATCTTTCTTTTAAATGCCCAATCTGTCTCAAATTCCAGTTGGAATGTGCTGTAGGGACCCTCAGGCATCTTCCCTGCAAGTTTCAGGCAATTTCATTTGTCGGCCAATATTGAAAAAATTGCAAGGGGTTAGCCTTACACTTTCGATAAAATTTGGCCAAAAATTGATTTTTCTCCAAACAACTCAGAAAGGTCTTTCGATGCAAGAGGAACATCAATAGACTTTCAGACATTAATCGTATTGAAGATTTTGGCAAAAATCAACTGACTTATTGAAACAAAAATGAATAATTTCCCCTAATTTTGACACAAATTATCGAAGCAATCTTTCTATTAAATTCCCAATCTGTCCAAAATTCCAGTTGGAATGTGCTCTAGGGACCCTCAGGCATCTTCCCTGCAAGTTTCAAGCAATTTCATTTTTGTCCAAAATTGAAAAAATTGCAAGGGGTTAGCCTAACATTTTTTTAATCAAATTTGGCCAAAAATTGACTTTTCTCCAAACAACTTAGAAATATCTTCGGATGCAAGAGGAACATCATGATCAATCGACCTTCAAACACTTAACATATTGAAGATTTGCGTAAAAATCACCGACTTACTGAGACAAAAATTAATAATTCCTGTATAAATTTCACATTTTGTGCACAAACCATTAATTGATAACAAAGCTCTTATTGATATGGTATATAGCCCTAATGAATAAAAGAAAAAGACGGACTTATCGGGAAGTTCGATTTAGCACTACCAATACATGTATATTTATTCATTACACACACTCACACACTGCAGCATAGCAAATAATATTGGAATGTGGAAGTTGAGAACAAGTCATAAATGTCATCATTTTTCATGTTAAAATTATTACTCTCCTCAAATATGAAGTCTTTACGAACCTTTCCCCTTACCCTCTTTTGGTATAACTTTGAACAGTGTGTGTTATCCGGTTCGTTACTATAAGCGTCATACACGCGCGCGCGCACCACTGATACTAGCACCCATTGGATAAACACTCAACATATTGCGTTAGCTTCCGGTTCCAATGGTTCGAATGCTACTTAATGGCCAGCGGGCGTGGTTTTAAATGAACTGACGTCAAACCAACGAACCGGATAAAAAAAACAAGCTGTTCACCTTTTTCGTAAATGAAGAAGCATTCATGAAAATTATGTGCTGCTGTGTGCCATTATATAATATCACAATGATACAAGCGAAACTAAATGGAAGCTTTCGTTCTAGACTCTATAAATAAGCCTGGCGGACTACAAAACTGACAACCATTTACTTTTTTGTAATTAAAGCCAATTATTGAAGACCTTTTGGAAAAGGTATAGGATTATGTGTTGAAGCGAAAGCTATTTTTTCCACAATTACAAATCATGCATTCATAAGTTTGACTTTTTTTTATCACAAAATAAATGGAAAATTACTACTTTTGTTTAAATTGTAGCCTATTTACTTGAAAAGAGTAATAATAAAAATAGATTCGTATATGTGTATCAATATAAACCCTGCTACGCAAATGAAATGTACATTCATAATTTACATCATTCAGAATTTGTATATAAAATAGTAAATATAGCTCAGGAATAATGAAGTATTATATTCTCCGTTTTATAGAAATCGTATATAAGCCCTTATAAAATAGTAAATATAGATCAGGAACGATGAAGTATTATATTCTCCGGAAATATAGAAATCGTATATAAGCCCTTATAAAATAGTAAATAAAGATCAGGAATAATGAAGTATTATATTCTCCGTTTTATAAATCGTATAAGCCCTTATAAAATAGTAAATATAGATCAGGAATGATAAAGTATTATATTCTCCGGAAATATAGAAATCGTATATAAGCCCTTATAAAATAGTAAATATAGATCAGGAATAATGAAGTATTATATTCTCCGTTTTATAGAAATCGTATATAAGCCCTTTATATTTGGTCATTCAACAAAACTGCTTCAGTTGTTTCTAAGAAGTATTTTTGTAGTTCTAAGTTGCTATTTTAAGTTGCTATTTTAAGTTGCTATAAACACAATCACTAGGTATAATTGCAATTGCTTACATATTGATTATAGATTGAGATTGCGAGGAAAAATATGCATAAATTGTCTAATTGGTTATGATCGTTTAATTATATACACCATCGAAATCACACAAATCCACACAAAAAAATACTTGGAAAAAAAACCCACTAAAAACTACAATTAAATCTATATCTAAATTGCGCATAACCTTTTAGAAAATGTCTAACTGTATTTGTTTTTTTACGTTAATTTTGCAACAACTACTTTTGTGTTCCTCACATGTTTGAAATGCTATTTATACCACAAACTGATGCAAAGATTTTCCGCTTTAATTTACTTCTGTTGAAATTAAAAAGATTATTTCACCTTTTTGTTGGGGGGTGGTATTTCTTTTTCAATTTCAATCTTTAAAGGAGCTAACTTCACAGATGAAATGCGGGGTACAATGACCTGTAATTTAACTTGCGACTGACTTTTGGTTGGCCTTTGATTTGACTTATGACTGACTTGGAATCTCACTATCGATTGACTGGCGATTTCATTTGTAATCAACTTGTAAAGCGACTTGTGATTTGACATCACTAAAAAATTTCATTTGTAAGCGTCGGGAGCATTGAATTCGTGGTCTGCGGGTTATTCTGCAGGTTGTGGGTTCGAGTCCAGCCTGCGGCTATGGTGCGAGTGCCCTTGGGCAAGGCACTTTGTCACTCATTGCTTCTCTCCACCCAGGAGTAAATGGATACCTGTGAGGGCAGAGATGGTTATTGTGGTTGATTTAAGCTGCTTTGGGCCGAAATGGCAGCATCGAGCTGTATACTCCCCAGGGAGCTGTGATGGTATTTAGAATGTTTCATTGGCCCATTGAGCAGGGTAATAATGATGAAAAACTTTGAAACATTAGGTATAAAGCGCTATATAAACACCACATATTATAATTATTATTATTATATATTCTCTTGCTGTGAGCTCTGGTGCTAAGCATCATTAACAAATTTTAACTATGATCTTGGAACCAGATATAGAGGAACCAGAAATTGCAGTGTTTTTGATGTAAAAACATCTGCAAAAACATTGTCATGGGTCTGAGTATGTCAGTACCTCTTGACAAGCCTAATAACGCTTCTTGACGCATATCTCCATTTCGTCCAGAGGCTGGTGAGTCAAGGTCGCCACCTTGTTGAGAGTCAAGAGAGACTCAGACTCCTTGCCCGGTACCTTGTAGAAGGAGTACCGGCCAAACAGCCAAGTGAAGAGCAAGAAGATTTCCTTCTTGGCAAAGTCTTCGCCGAGGCAGACGCGACGTCCGGTGCTGAATGGGAGAAAGCTCTCTGGGAGCTTTTTGAGCAGTTGACCGTTGTCGTCCAAAAAGTGCTCTGTCAAAGAAAGCATGCAGAAAATTTATTTTAATTTTTTTTAAGGGAAATAATGCTAAAAACTTTCAATTTTCTCTTTGACAAAAGAAAGTGTTAATTTCAGTTCATTAAAATCATTTCACCTAACTATATGCCATTGGTTTGCATCAAATAAGAGCGCAATTATTTCATAATTTCACATTTTGGAGCTGTGAACTCACAAACTTGAATACTTTATATTGCGCGAAACTTTTGCTGGAGACGTTTCTGAACATTCCTGTGAAGTATGATCCAGAATTTTAAATTTTGCTAAAAATGAAAATTATTTCCTTAGCCAAAAAAAGGGTTACCGACCAAAATCTTATCAAATGTGTATGGTTTGAGACTGGTTCTCAGCTGTTCGTGCTTAGCATATGGATCAATCAGGCAACAGCCTTTTTCTGAGGTGGCACCGGGCTCCTGCGAGTCGTGCTCAGGTTGTACTCACTTCAGGCTCCTTCCACATATAGATTTACCAAATGCCATTGCATGTAACCTCCACTAGAAACTTCTGAGAGAAAACAGCCAATCTAACTGTAAACTGGCCAGCCCTATCTCTATCTTAATCCTTTGTCCAAACAGTGACTTTATAATCCCTGACACTTAGTATAATAAAGCTACATGTGCTGTCAAACAGCTGATATTGACAAGTGCAGGAGATTAGCAGCAGTATCTGATAACAGGGGCCAGTTTGTTGACAAAGGGATTAACAAGATAAGAGTGTACAGCTAGAAGTACTGTATTCTTTCCGAGTTAAAGCCCAGTTCATACTTCACGCGAAAGCTTGTGCGAAGCGAAATTTATGTCGTCAACAATGGTGGACAGCCTTCAAATGTATTGTTGACGTCACGAATTTCGCTTCGCTTTCGCGTGAAGTATGAACTAGAGTTTACTTGGAAAGCTGCTACAAGCACTAAAACCTGATGCATACGCGCCTTGTTTTTAGGAATGCATCCAGCATGCGCGTGAACTTGGTACCACTGCAGTAAGGCCTTCTAATTCTGGTCGCCGGATGCCGCTATAAACTTGCCAAGCTTGCAAACTTACCCGGCTTAAACTTCTCCGGTTCGGACCACTGTGTTGGGTCATTGTGCAGAGCCAGATGGTTAATCATCACCATGGTGCCTTTGGGGATATCGTACCCAGCTGTAGAAATTTATTTAAATAAGATTACTCAAATATGACAAACCATCATATAATATTAATCAGTTAACGCGAGAAGACATGGAAAATACGAGCTGGCAATGTACATTTGAAGGGGCAAGTGATGGATTATAGCGTCAAGCTTTCCTTGAGTCTCTGGCGTTGGACATGTAAACATGTCAGTGGTTCTCATTGTTTTTGTACCCACTGTGTTTTGATCTTGGCAGTTTGAACATTGTACATTCCGGCCTGTTTTCGTAGCAAATATTACTCTGTGACAAGGCCTCGGAGTGTTGCAAAATATGAAGTAACGATGAGAAGTATAGTACAAATATTGTCCAAATGACTCTCAAGAGCCAGAATTTGTGTGGTTTGACCTAATTTTGAAATTTGGCTGATATATCTTATCTTTTTCAAACATGCTGTTTTTTTGCCGAAAGTAATCCCGGCCGCCGCAAGTGGTTAACCCTGCGTGGCTGCAATTGTATTTTAGTTGTCATCCACCACCATACTGAACTTTTCAGTACAATGGTGCATGGGTGTTACTGTCTAACAATATCCATTCAGTAGGCATTTTGGTGAACATAATCCCTTTTCATAGAGTCTAAATAGATGGACAGAGGCCCACTTCGCTCAAGAAAACAATTTCAAGCAAAAAAGTGTATACATGCCCAGATTACTCTGTATTTGTTCAGTACCCATACAAAAAAAATTGCGTTTTATCTCCGTGTTTTTTTTTTGCCTGGCTATCCCCCCATCACAACAGCCTGAGGCTGCATGTATAAATAGCTAAAAAGGATGAGGACCACCTATTTCCAGGCTTCAAGACTGGGCATAGTGATTGGCCCGGTGATATAAGCAGCTATACTTACAACACAATACAATTAATACTATACGTGACAATACAAAACCTATGGGAGTTGGCCTGGTTCTGATCTTTGCCTCAGAAATTCTGGTCAAAAGTTCAACTAGGGGCCCCAACCGTGCTTTTTAGCTATGTCTCAATAGGTTACATGTGGAGTATGACATTTTGTTTATGACAATATGATGGAGTAATTACAAGTCATTTAAAAATGTACTGACAATGTCAGTACTGTTGCACACCACAGACTTTTTGAACTTTTTTGAGACCACAAGAGGTTGGTTTTGGTAAACTCATTTGTGTATGCCAAAACCTAATAGTACCTCCTATAGTCTCCGTGCACAAACAGCAGGTAGTGCTTAGTGACCACATTCAAAGGGATCCACCATGTGCATGTGCTTGTTCATGTGCATATGGTGTGAAGTATACATGCAGGGTTCGACCTCAACTTTTTTCACACGCCAGCAGGGCTACTGAAACAGACTCTTAACTAGCCCGCGGGCATTGTCACTAGCCCGCATGTTTACCTTTTGTAGAGTGTCTCATAAACAACAATGTGCATACATAAAAACATGTATCCTGAGGCAATCTTGTCAGTGGTTTTTGATAAACAGATCTAATAATTGAACCCTGAACAGTTAATAGAATTAGAAACATGATTCAACATGGACGGCTGCCATTTTGTCATCATGTGACTAGTCATCATGTGACTGATTATCGTGTGACTGATCACCGTGTGACCGATTATAGAACAGAATCGGGCACGTATGCAGGATTGCGGGTAAGTTGCGGTCTAACCGCAAAGATGAAAAAATTGTACCGGTGGTCATCCGCTGAACTGGTGAACCAGTAAAATCGGAAAGGTAACGCTAGACTTTAGACTACTGGACCAAATACTCACCCACTGTGGTGTCGGTAGTGACATTATGGGGGACGCCTAAAGGCACAACTGATCCATAGCGGTGAACCTCCAGGATGGTGGCCTCAATGTACGGCAACAAGCCGCGGTCGTCCAACGAGGGGAGCGTATCACGACCCAGGACGTCATCAATCTCCTTGGCAACCTTCTCCTGGACCTCCGGATTCTCGGCCAAGAGACCCACCGCCCAGTGAAGAGTGAGAGTGGTAGTCTCGGTTCCAGCTGTGTTGAAACAGTAACATCTTAAGGCTGGTTCATACTCGGCACAAAAACGAATGCGAATTTGTGACGTAGGGGCAAGTTTCTGCGCAGCGAATTCACAAACATTTCAACTGTTATGCATTTTGCAGCCAATGTTTCGTGACGTCAAATTCACATCGCATTCGCATGAAGTATGAACTGACCCTTATAGTCAATGTTGAGTACAAATTTTGGCTATTCTCTTAAAAAATAAAATGATAATCACAGCAAATGATGTGATTATGTGTAGTGCCGTGGCCTCATGGTCTGGAGCATCAACAACCTCTTACGATCTGTGGGTGATTCTGCAGATGGAGGGGGGGGTGGAGGGGTGCTTGGCGTCCAGGGTAGGGTTACTCTGGACATGTCATTGGGCAAGACACTTTGTAACTAATATTGAAAAAGACGAGACAGATCTTTTTACCTGAGAAAATGTCAAAGACTGTCAGACAAATGTGAGTATCGGTGATGTGTTCGGCTTCCTCCTCCCCAGCTTCTATTGCCTGCTTCTGGGTCAACAGCAACGAGTCAACGAAGTCACGCACGTTTTCTGTTGCAAAAGAGAAGCAATTTAATAGTTGAACGAAGAATTTGACCGGAGTGGGGTTTGAACCTGCGACCTCCAGTCTGCCATTCTGGCACTCCTCCTATCCAGTCCTATATGGGTGGCTACCAATTTTTTTACGGAAAAGCAAATTGTGACGTCTCTGCGAATTTACAAAAGTAGAACATATTTCATCTCTGGTGAATTTTGCAACCAATTTTTCCTGACGTTAAATTGCCATTGCATTATAACAATTGTGTCAAGCATGAACTGGTCTTTAGTGAAGTGGGCTTCGCACCCACAAACATCTACTTACGAGAGCCGATATCTTACTAACTTGACCAGCGTGCTTTTTGGCTGGTTTTATCTGATATAGTGGCTGGTTCTACAACCAATCTATTGTTAAGATGGAATTTTTGCAGGGGAAATGTTAATGAATTATTTGGTTTGGACTCACCTGGGTCAAACTGCTCCCTATGTATCTTTAACTCCTTTCTGAAGAACCCTAACATCTCTGCAATAATCTTCCGAACCTTCCGTTCACCCTGAGTTGGAATGAAACTTAAGGCAGGAAAGAAGTCAGCAATAAGACCATTGCCGAAGGCTTCCTGTGCATCAACATTCAACTGAATCCACTGCAACAGTTCAGGCTGGTTGAACTCGTATCTGAAACAAGACAATAAGCGTTGCATGTACCTTCAAAGTCTGCGGTTTGCTATTTATGTGGGGTTTCAACCCCCTGCATTTTTAGCATTTAAAGGGAAGAACAGACCATTTGTCATTAATTTTGGGCATTTGTTTTCAAGACAACTGTGTGTGTTCTGAAAACTTTCCCCAAGAGTGCATTTACTGACAAGGTCATTGCATTTGGTCAATTTTTGATCAATTGGTAGTTATATTTTATGGGAGAATTAGGGGGCTTGGTTTTGGTCAATTTTCCGGGAACAGACCGACCACGAAGTGACATGAAGAAGCTCCTGCCAGAGTTTAAAAACCACAAAATTGTGCAAAAATCTGCAGGCAAAAGTGCACCGTTAACTTAAACGCTACTTACTGTTTGTTGAAGCACAAGCTTGCGAGGATATTATACACGATCTGGCCGATGGTGTACTTGGGTGCGAACGGTTTGTCCCCAAGGTCATCCAGAACTTTGGCAATTTGCGGAGTGACGCTGAAGACGAGCTTCTGCAGTTGTTCTTTCTGCGCAAAATGCCTGGAAAAAAAACAAACGGTATTAGATTGTGAAATGTGATTGTTGAGAACTGATGGTATTATTTTTTTATAATTTTCTAAAAATAAATGTATAGATGGCGACAGGAACTAACCTAATTGCAGTGTGGCCAAGCTTGCGTTGGTACTTCCACTGCGGGCCGTAGTCCGAGAAGACAATATCTTTGAATCCTTCAGTGAAGATTTCAACTGGAGAATGGGAACGAAAAAAATGTCTAATGTTGAATATAAAAACAATTGCTACAATGAATTCTGTGCAGTTTTGTTCTCGTTTGAAGCAACAAAATTGCTCAAAATCTTATGTAGGGTGCATATACAGTAACAACTAACCAGTTAAAGTTTTAGCACATTGGCTATAATTTTACATTTTGAGTTAAAGGGGAAAACATTCAGTCCATGAACGCAACTTTTGGGCCTCAAAACTGGATTCTGTTGTTAACACACATTAAATAAAAACGGGTGCCAGCAGGCACACTTTTTTAAAACCACCATCATTGATTGTTTACTTTCGATTAAAACTATTTCTGGCGGAATAATTTCACAGGGTATTGGGGACCAGTTGGCAATGGTCCTAACAACTGTTTGCACGGTCACAACAGGTGGAAGTTCTACTGTACTGTCTAATCAAACTTGAAGTTCCGTGAACATGTACCGGAGTATGTCTTCGGTCGACCCGCAAACTCCACGGCTTTCGTCACCAGCGCTTCTCGGACGACCTGAATGTTGTTCAGTACAATCAAGTTGAAAGCACCAAACCTCAGTGAGAAGACACCTCCGTACTGCTTGTGCAGATCGCACATGACCTCCAACGCAGTTTTGGACAAAAATGCTGCAGTCAATTATAAAAAACAAAGATTCACGACGTCATCCAAAAATTATTCATGCAGTATTCTGAAAGTGATTGTGTAGTTATGGTGCCAGATTCTAGAGAAAAAGCACCCACTTTAGTTTTAGGTTTTGACTCTCCCGACTATAGAAAGCAATTAGGCGGCCTGACCATTATTTGATAGGCCCATGGAGGAAGGATTCCTCCATGGTAGGCCTACCGGTAGGCGCCTGACTACTCACATGTAACATTCCCGAGCAGAGGCAGAGCAAACGGTCCTGGAGGGAAGTTAGCCGGTCGCTTCGAGCTCTTGTACAAAGCAAAGGCAGCCAGAGTAGTCAATGCAACCAACACGGTGGTCACGTTCGAATACCAATCACCCCAAACGGCCATTTTGTTTGTCTTTACGGTGTCAGTGTCACGTCTATAACGGATGCAAGTACACTGCCACTACTCGTCGCTGTCAGCAGTCTGGCTACAGGTCATTGCGCCCGGCCCCGTCGTCAACACCGCACCTGCTAACAAACACGCACAATTTGTGTACGTGTGTATACACGTAGGCAAACCACGGAGGAACAAAATTCCTCCATGTGCAAACACACAATTTTTGTAGTGTATTTTGGAAAATTTCAAGTCGTTCCACATTCGCTCGTGACGTGATTGCCAATAAACTGACGTGCGGACTCAGCTAAACCATGGAGCTATAATAAAGGGGACATTATCAAGCCCAGACCAGTGTTGGAGCAAAGGCTTAAACCTTCAAGGCCAAGGCCAAGGCCAAGGCTTTGACCCTCAAGGCCAAGGCCAAGGCCAAGGCTTAGACCTTCAAGCCTCGAGGCCAAGGCCAAGGCTTAACCCTCAAGGCTAAGGCCAAGGCCAAGGCCCTGTTTTATAAAATGACCACTGATATAGAACTAATTATAGTCACATGACTCATCATCACGAATCGCCCATTAAGAAGAACAACATGTCTTAAATTGCAATCAACATGCTCGCATACACCGTTTTATGACTGCATTAGATATATTAAAGTATAAGTGCAGGTCTTCAATGTGGTTTAACTAAAACAAAATAAAGATTTACTTCTATATTGACGCACAATTCTCCCGAGTGTAACAAAAGGGGGATCCAAGAAACTGATTTGGGAAATGTTTATTTGCTGGGCCAACATGGTCAGAAATATCAGCATTATCTAAAACAGATACATGCAAATCTTTAGCACTTATCAGGGAGACATACAACCAATCAGATCTGGGTCATTCCACCGGGTTGGGAAGCAGTGCATGTTACATCCATATATTTGGTTATATTATTAAAAATATCAATGCATTCTAAACAATTGCTTAACATAATATTTGTCTTAGGGTGTTTCAATATTTGAGAAAGTTTGAAATCATTTGAAAGTACTTTGACAAAAATATGAGCAAAAATGTATTAATTCGGATGTAACATAATTGACACTGTTTCAATGTTACACGTGTATGTAAAATGTTACCCAAACTGACATTGCATATTTACAACTGGACACCTAAGCACCAAGACAAACTTTTGTTTTGGTATTGTCAGGGTTCAAATATGGCAGAAACAATACCTCAAGTGTGGATGTAACGGTGTAAAAATCACTCAATGGAAATGTGACATTTGGGGTTTACACCGTGTAAATGTTACATCCACACAAACAAGCTATCATTTCTGCTCCATTTGATGTCTGACTACCATAACAAAAGCTTCTCTTATTGTGTTGCATCTATAGTAAGAAGTACGCAAAGTAAATTTGGGTAATATTTCGAAGAAATTAAAAAAAAAAAGATAACAAATGTCATATTTGGACGTAAACACTGACACGGGGTCAATGTTATATCCAAAATTACATTTTTTGCTCATATTTTTGGCAAAATACATTGAAATGATTTCAAACTTTCTGCAGTCGTGAAACACTCAACAACAAATATTATGTAGAGCAACTGCTAGCAAGGCATTCATGCTTTTCTTAATATGGTCATATGTCACACTTTGTTCCCCAACCCGCTGGGATGACCAATCTATTCCATAATTGTATGCAATTTAAGTGATCATCTCATTAGCCCCACAAGTGTACAGAATATTTTTGCAGCAAATCTACTACAATGGTAACAACATGTGATGCTATAAAAGTGGAAGTGTGCCCAACACACAAATCTACAAGGGGTTTCCCTCCTCCATGGTAATACGATTAAAATGGTAACAGCAAAATTTTGAACAGATTTATCTGGAAAATGCAAAAATCTATGGGCCTTGAAGGGCCTTGACTCAAATTGCAAGGCTGTGATCCCTCAAGGCCAAGGCCAAGGCCAAGGCTTTTGCCCTCAAGCCTCGAGGCCAAGGCCAAGGCCCCAAAATCCAGCCTTAAGGCAGCCTTAAGGCCAAGGCCCAGCATCAAGGCACTACATCACTGGCCCAGACAAACGTAAATTCGGACTGGTCCTTGCGTAGCCTAGCCCGGGGGGGGGGGGGGTGTGAGGGGTACGAATTTACGCACCCCCCAATATTTTTTAAAGACTGCCTTTTCCCATTCAATGCCTTTTTTAAACGGGCTTAACCCCCCCCCCCCAATAATTTGTAAAGAGTGCCTTTTTTAAAGAAGTGCCCCTTTTTTGGAACAAGTGCCCTTTTTGAAAAAGAAGTGGTGCCCATTTAATATGTGGCATCTGCCGTTTTGGGTGCCTTTTACTGAATTTCGCACATCGCCCTGAAAAGCAACATGTATTTGGCCGTTTGTGTGCATCGACAGATGGTACCCCCCCCCCCCCCCCTTTGATTTTACGGAGTCCAAAGAAAAAACCTGTCTACATTTCACCACGGATGTGCACGGTGCCCTATTCAAAAATGTTTACCCCCCAAATAAAAATGACCGTGCTACGCCACTGTCTATATATATGCCAGCGCCAGTACATATAATACGTACATTTTCGGACTCTTATACACAGTATTGAATGAGAGTCCAAATTTTCGGGCTAGTTTGGACCCTTGACGGAATAACAACGAATGCTCAGTCCGTGGCGACAGACACACAATCAAGGAATCATTGGAAAGAGGACACATAATTGGTGTTTCACATGATCTTTAACTTACTTGCAAAAATTTATTAGATTTTTAATAATTAACATTTACATCTGGGTTTCCTTAGTGGATACATCATCAAGCCCTGCATGAAATAATAAGCCCATACATAATTATATCAACCGGCCGTCAAGTTTCTACCATCATATCAAGTGGACATTTAACAAATCCTGATTTCGATTTAATTATAAGCTCAACGGCACTGAGTTCCCAATACGCAGCCTAGTACAATTTGGTTCACAAATATGGAGTAAGTCCTTATCTGAGGCTGAACCACATTATGAGGATTTTGTAAGAAACATCTAAGACCTACAACATCACTGCAATGACTGACATCCATTTATTAAAACGTGCTGACTCACATGTAACATTCCCGAGCAGAGGCACAGCAAACGGTCCAGGAGGGAAGTTAGGCGGTCGCTTCGAGCTCTTGTACAAAGCAAAGGCAGCCAGAGTAGTCAATGCAACCAACACGGTGGTCGCATTGACGTACAGATCACCTAAAATCGCCATTTTCTTTTCAGAAGATATATATACGCCGAAATGATCACAGCACGTCTCAAACGGTACAGAGATGATGCCACAATACTCAAAGCTGCGTCATCGCATACATACTAACTTCATGTACATGTGTAGTTTACTAGATTGCGCATGATTGTGAGATGTTTACTTACGAATTCACCCATTACGTAACATATACCTGAATATAATGGAGATTACAATAAGTCCCTTTTTTCAGGTATTATTAGGTGTCCTTGTTCTATCTACGTAGATGTTGCATGCAAGTCATCGCACGTTGATCGGGCCTAAGCTGGTATATTTCGACCAGATGAGGCCTTGCTTTAGGCATATGCCTTAATTACTAACTAAAGCAACGATTGCCGCAGAATTTTCTTGAATTTATTCCTCACGTGTATTGCGTCATCCGTCTGGATAACTTGGAAATTTAATAACAATCATTGTCCAATCCTAACCCTATATGATTGTGAAGTAAGACTTGTAAGAAATGGGCAGGGCCATAAGGAAAAGTAAAAAAAAAAAGAAGGAAACTATCAAACGGTATGATGATTTACTTGTCATTCGGGAACATCTCACAGGCTAATCCATGGCCAAAACCGAACTGCGAAAACAGGGATCGACCTTAACTTTTTTGTTCACTAGCCAACCTGGCTACTGAAACAGACTCTTAACTAGCCCGTGGGCATTTTCACTAGCCCGCTTTTTTTTTAAGCTCAAATACAAAATCCCGTATTTTCGGGCACAATTTTGAGGCAATTTTGTCATTGTTTTAACCCTAAAAGGGCCGGGTTATTTCAACCATCTCTCAGCTGGGAAGGGGCCATCGAGTGACGAAAAATTTTGAAACTCGGTACATGCATAGAGCAACTCATCATAAACATATCCAAGAAATTTCGTGACTATAGGTCAAAGGGTTTTGGAATTATGGCTAATTAATTATTCATATATACGAATGGTAATTCTGCTCTGTGTACATGACGTATATGGGAAAATTCAGTTTCCACAGCGCCGGAAAATGTTTATGTTTTTGGTATCAAAAGATGCGCAAGGTTCGAGGCTAGTAAAAAGTCATAACAGCTCGGGTCACGAATTTTTTTTTTTCAAAGCTATCGCGGAAAAAGTTTAGGAGGGGCGGATTCCGCCCCCGGCCCTTTTAGGGTTAAATAAACAGATCTAATTTAACCCTTTAAAACAGTTGATAAATCAGACACAAATTGATGATGTTTGCTTTCTGAATTTAATGATTTATTTATTCCTGTCCTTTCATCTTTGCCGTAGCCCAATAATTTTTGACTAGCCCAGCCGGGCTACTTAAGGAATAGTTTGACGCGCCGCTGTTTTGACTAGCGTTTGCCTAGCGGGCTTCCGCTAATTTCGAACCCTGGAAAATTACATTCGGTCAAAAATTCAACAAGTTACAAAATACATGGGTACATGAAGTGAGAACACTTTAGTGCAAACAGAAAACCGTAAAAACTGTCAATTTTAAAAGAAAGTCACAATGTATTTTTTTTTTAAAGCCGACTGTTATTCTAAGAGCTGGAGAAACAACATAGGCCTACCCTCATAAGATTACATTCTTAAGCACCAATCAAAACTCTACCTTGTTTTACGTTTCATATTTACACCGCTTATATAAAAACACTTTGCAATGGCTAGCACAAGATATTTTAAAATAATTGTCGACTCCCCCACAACACACGAACTTTAATAACTACTTGTCATTTACTCTATTTGGAGTATTTTAATACAGCAACTTCCTTTTCACGCATTATGTTTGTTACCAATTATAACATCAAACACCGCCACTCAAAATCAAAAGAAGAATGTTCAAAACCTAACCCGTTGAATTTTCAGCTCAGTGGATGTTACACTTTTCGAGAACACAGTGAAAACAATGCACAACCTTTTGATCACGAAACACGATTTCGTCCATAGAACTCCGTATTTCTGAAAATCAGTCAAATGACTTATCGTTGGAAATCATACATTTTCTTGATTTCTTCTAAAATGCCAGCAAGCTAGACGGAATAATTTCATGGGATGTACGATCTCAGTAATCCAAGTAAGCTTTTC